CTATCTATCTATCTATCTATCTATCTATCTATCTATCTATCTATCTATCTATCTATCTATATGTTACCTAATTAGAGTATAATGAAAAATTTGCAAGAAAACAAGCAATCGCAGAGAGCACGAAGGAGTCCTCAAATATATTTTTATCAAATGTTTCCAAGAAAGATATCTTATTCACATCCAGTTCCTATCATAAAGGTTTCTGATAAGAGTAAAGAGCCACAATCCATTGAAGACATCTCAGGTTTTTGCCATTTCTTCCCCATTTATAATATCAAAAGCCAATTTAAATTCTGCAGAGGGATTCTTTGTCCATGTCATACATCTTTCATTCAGGTGTTATAAAATCAAGTCTTCTCTGTCTGTTCATCTTCAATGATTTCCTCATTATCCAACCAATGAATTTATCACAGAGGTGCCTTGTGCAAAGCTTTCCCAATTAGGCTTAGGAAGCTAATGGAGTAATAGTTAATTAGATCAAATGTGAGCCCTTTCTTATAAACCAGAACAATTACAGTCATATCAGTCTTCTGAAAATTATCCAGAGGAGTTAATAAATGAGATGAGGGCAGCCAAAATTGAGATCCACTAGTCAGCATTATTCTTTATCATTTCTGCAGGAGTACAATTTACAGCCAACAGCTTTGCCAGTCTTCAACTGGCCTGTCAACCTTTCACCTTCTGAGTTGCAGTAGGAAAACATCTTGGCAACTCTCCTTTGGTGGTGAATTTCCAAGTCATGACCCTGTTTAGAGTAGCTACTGGGATCAATATCCACTCCCAGAATGTGTGGTGAAGATATTACTTAATCTGCGTCATTGAAATAGTTTTGTAGTTGTACACATCCTCCACCACAAAACGAAACCCTCATTGTATTAAAGGAATAGGATCTATTCCAGTTTTCATCCAGTTATTGGAAGAAAGTGAATTTCCATATTTTCCTTTACTAAAGACTTGTCAGGCTATTGGTAACTGACTGAACGGAATATATTTCACCCCAAGTTCTCAGAATTCCCTTTAAAAAGTACATTAAGTTTGAAAGAGTAGCAGCACACATTTTACAGCAAGTGAATTAATTTAAAATGAATCTCAAATGTATATTAAGACAGAGACTTTCTTAGTCAATTTTCCACAGTCCTAAGTAGGAAAGGAAGTTCTTTTTACTGACAACAGATATTGGAATGTCTTCTCCAAAGAGAAACCTCATGCTTTGTCTTTTCAAGGGCAAGGCAGTGCTTGTATTTTTCAAAGATATTTTTGCTGTGTATGAATGCTTTGAATTGATTTCAATGAATGCTATATTTTTAAAAAGTTTTATCTTGTATATTGTTTGTAAAGCTACAGATATGTTAACTACTATTGCTGCTGTAACAGTTGCTTGAATGCTTATAAGTCTGAAAAGCAACACTTATTGGTAATTTGGAACACATGTAAGTACAAAATCTGTTTGCAAAAGAAATATATGAAAACTAAAAATCTACATAAAAGGTCAGTGATAGTTGATTTCAAACTGTGCAGCTTTCCTGACATTAATGGTTAGATACAGACTATTGTCCCAAAATTAATCTGGAGTTTATTTTGGTGGTCAAAGTTCTGATTTCCTTTTAATGCTGATGATACAGGACCTGTGTGTACTCCGTGGCTGTTGCTGGGATCCTCAGAATGAAACACATGTACCTTGGTGCTACTTTTCAAAAAATCATGGGTACCAAGTTCAAGGAAGAATGTCAGATACAAATCCAGGTAAGCTGAAGAAGCCTAAACTCCAGACTTATTAGATATTTATAGATCCAACATACTCAGCATGTAAATAAGGCAATGAACATAACATGTAAAATAAAAAGTATTTTCAGCATATGGATAACTTAATGTTTAATTTCTGTCTTACTAATAAATTTAAAATCTGATAGATCAAGTATCTTCTTTGTTTCTGCACCACTTAATATGGGAAGGAGAAACAGCCATTCCTAAATTCTCAAACTTTTTGAGTCAGGAGGCTAAGTTAGCATTTTGTTCATAACCATTTGCTAGTTACTAAGAATTTGGGGTTTCAGGTTATTTTAGTTAGGAGGTAAGGTTAAAATTGATAAGTTATTTTTTACTATTTTTATCACTTCTAAACATAAAATTAATACATATAAAATAAATTATTTTTCAAGTATTTTATTATGCATTGTTTAATTGTTTACTATGACTTTGTCTTGGACCATAAAGAAATAAATAAAAATAATTGTTAATTAAGTGCCAGAAAGATGAGATATTAATGATTCATATGGATCTGAGAATCCACAAGTTGTGAGAGAACTAGGAAAGTATTTGAGAATATTTCCAGGACTTAAGCAGATCTTCCTTTTGTTTCATGTACAGATTCATTTTTTTTTTTTTTAGAACCCTATAGATTAAAGAAAAATCTTGGTCCAGTAACAAATTGAAGTCAGTGAAGTTCTTTCAATTATTGTGCAATTTATCAGTGGCTAAGTTCAATGCAGAAAATTCTTACAGCATTTTTCAGGAGCATCAGCTTCCATACAATGGAAAAGAGCAGTATAGAAGCTTCAGAATGAAGGATCAACTAAAAGAACTGCATAATACAGACACAGAGAGATTCAAAGCCTATTTTGCTGTATAATTCACTGACTGATTTTGGTCTAGAGGTTCACCCTAATCAACTTCCTTTATTCAATTGTTATGTAAAAAAAGGATAGATGCTGGATTGAAAAATGCTTCAGATATGTTGAACACAGATTTAATCTAAAGGTCAGAATGGACAGAATGCTTTATCAGTAAACTGCATGCCTTATTCTCTTACTTTGCTTTGTCCTAATTGAAGAATACCTAGTATTCTTATAATTATTGTCAATACTGGAAGTAACACCCTTCCTTCCTTTCCTTCTTTCTTAGGATTTGAAGCTACTCTAATAAGACTACCTTCTCCATCCCTGTTTGGAAATGATATTGAAAAGCTTCATCTCACTGCAGAATATCAAACTGCAAACCGATTTCATTTTAAGGTTAGAATGGTTTTTTTTAATGAAATAATAATAATAATAATAATAATAATAATAATAATAATAATAATAATAATAATAATAATAATAATAATAATAATATTTATAGAAGAAAAGATTAGTGAATGACAAGCTGACAAGATTAATGAATGACAAGCACATAATGTATCACTGGGCTAAAGTCCACTGTGCAGAAATTGGAGGCAAATTTTCAGTTGGTACAATGTTATTATTTTTGCTAAATATACTGGATCTGGATTGTAAAATTTCAGACGTCCATTAGATAACAGCACAGAGACATAGAAAGCACTAAATATTTGCTAGCATATGGGGAACATCTGGAATTTTGCAGCTTAGATCTATTCTGTACCTTCAAAGATAAAAATAAAATATTTGTTTGAAAGGGTGTATTGTCCAATTATAGAATATTGTATATAAAGCAAAATTAACATTATGATTCATCATCTTAAAATGATCTGCATCTTAAGTTAAATGAGTATAACCATATAAATAGGTATGTTCCATACCTATTGAGGAACAAGCTAGTTAACATATATATTGAAGAGTACTTTCTATGAAAATATATTCCAGGAAAAACTGTCTTAAGGTCAGCATTGTCATGTTGAGTTACAGCCAATTTGAAATTTCTCAGGACATTTCAGATATTCACTGAGAAACCCAACTGTCTGGTTTGCCACAGTGGTGCTATTTTACCGGTTCGGCCCAGTTCTACCGTACTGGTAGCGCTGAAAATAATAGAAAGAATATTTCAGATGAGGGAAAATTGTGCATTCACTATGTCAAATTTTATTTCATTTTAAAATTTTATGTTGCTGGTTGGTTTTAACAGATTACAGATCCTGCCAACAAAGATAGATATGAAGTCCCACATGAAAATGTTCAACCTTTTCAGGGATCTAAAGCAACCAACTTAATGTATCGAATAGAAGTCACAGACAATCCTTTTGGAATCAGTGTGATCAGGAATATCAATAATAAAGTCCTGTAAGTTACCTTTCTGTTCCTTGTTTTATTTATATATATATATATATATAAGCCAACAGTTCATAATTGTTCAACCACTTCCCCCCTCTAAGATTAATTGTGTAGCAATTGTCAACTATTTTGATCTCAGGCTCCTTTTAGGTTCTTAAAAATGAGTGAGACTTTGGTTTATATGGCCTATATCTGTCATATTTACTGTATTATAAACTTATATTGAGATTACTTTTATCTTTACAGACTCTCTGAAAGGGTCTCAAGAACTTTCAGAGGTCCCTAGACCACACTTTGAGAACTGTTGCCGATATATTGACAATAAATTTTCAAACATTTTTTAATGCAGTAAATGCATTAAGTAAATGCAGTTATTTGAATTGCACACATCTCTAATAGAAAGTATCTCATAGACCATAAGTTGCTTGCACGTTGAATAGGGTCTCAGGAAAGACTCTAAACCAGAAGATGTTTTTGCGTGTTTCATACCAGATTTTGTTACCTGTAGCTCTGTTGTTCAACATGAAATGTAAGTGTATCCACTAACATATTCATTGTTGTTACACAATTTAGGCAAGAATCAGAAGTAATCTTCCTTCTGGGAAGTTTGACTGCCATCATTTATTTATGTAACATCCTTATCACAATATTGAAAAGGAGTAATTAAAACAATACATCAGCAGCAGTCAAGAAAGTGAGCAATGCCTGTTAAGGAATAAAGACCTATTATCTATTCTTCCAAATGTTTCTGGTGTCCTGTAGTGTCCTGTCTTGGTGACTATAGTTCTTACTGGTGACCCAATTTTAAGCTCTTATGTCAATTTAGACAAATGCTGGTCTTTTCCTTAGCTTTTTCCCCCTTTTCTTTACAAGGTATTCTTAGTACGAATACAATGTGAATTGAATGCATTTTTTAAAATCCAGTTTATAAAAAGCATAATACTTTTGATCATTCAAACAGCTTCAACACCAGTATAGGACCTCTGATATATGCTGACCAGTTCTTACAGCTTTCCATTAGAGTGCCTAGCTGGAATGTTTATGGCGTAGGAGAACATGTGCATCGACAATATCGGCATGATTTTAACTGGAAAACATGGCCTATCTTTACCCGGGATGCTTTTCCCAATGGGGTAAGTGTCTTCTTCTGATTCTGCATCAAGTTTGGTCTTCCGAAGTAGTAAAATAAATATGAACATAATTCTGAATGAATGAAATGAAAGAAGGAAAGCAAAATACACATTTTTGAATTGTGATTCCATTTTATACAAGAAGCATGATTCTGACTTTGCTGTGAATCAAATGGTAGGACAGCATTTCTTAAAATTAAAGCAAGGCATAAAGGAGAACCAAAAAGGAAGAAAGCACAGTTTGCTTGTTAAGAATATAGGTGGCCCTCAACTTATGGGCACAACTGAGTCCAAAATTTATTTCGGTAAGTAAGGTAGTAGTTAAGTGAATTTTTCCTTATTTCATGAGCTTTCTTGCTTTAGTTGTTAAGTGAATCACTGCAGTTGTTAAGTTAGTAACATGGTTGTTAAATGATGCTGGTTTTCCAATTTGCTTGTCAGAAGGTCATAAAGGCTTTCACTATAGGTGACCCAGACACAATAGGTGACACTGCAATGTCATAAATACATGTCAATTGTCAAGCATCCGAATTTTGTTCACATGACCATTGGGGATACTAAATGACTATTGGGGATGTGAAAAACAGTTGTTGTTGTTTCACTGCCATTGTAACTTTGAAAGATCACTAAACAAACAGTTGTAAATTGAGGAGTACCTGTACTCCAGTGACTTCTATTGCAACATTTTTTTGCAATCCTTTTTTCTCTCCTTTCTGTAGAGAACTGGTGATGGAGGAGGTGGGGAGGGGGAGGAGGATTATAAGGATATAGTTCTAGAACCTGTTCCAGGTTTTTTTTAAAATGTGGACAAAGAAGGCAAATATTATGTATTTTAACTTTCTTTTACTTTTTAACTTTTGTAATCTGGTCTCCAAAAAGAGTTTTCCCAATAGAGCTTGTAGTACGTTTAATCAAATAATATCCCCCCTCCAGAATAAGTAAAAATAATACATATACCTTCACAAATATATATATATATATATGGTGTTCGGCTTGGTTCGGGTATTTTCCCACGTCATTGTAGTTCTTTTAAAGTTGTAGCAACGTTTCAGCAGAATCTCATCTGCCATGGCATGCATATACACTATTCAGCAGTATGAGAACTTCATAAAAATATTATATATGTTTAAGGCAGTTTAAGATATTCAGTTTCAACACTTAGGATTTCTAATGAACTTTCATATTTATATATAGTTGTTGTTTCCTTCAAAGGATATGAGCAACCTGTATGGTGCTCAGACTTTCTTCTTATGTCTAGAAGATAAGAGTGGACATTCATTCGGAGTGTTTCTTATGAACAGTAATGCCATGGGTAAGGAAATTATTTATGATTTTGATAAAAATCACCTGGCTTTCTTAAATAATTTTCTACATGTGTATGATAAATGCACAAGATAATCAGCAGGTATGTTTTATACTACACATTTTTTATCCAATGCATTTATTCTGAGCAAGTTGTATTTTAATTATACTGTTCGAACTAATAATAGTGAGAATCTAATTGTGAAACAGTGTGATCCTATCTATTCAAAATTAAGTCCTTAATCTTGGTGAGGCAATGGCATGGTAGGTTACCAGATATAACATTACTGCTTTTCCTTCCCAAATCACACTGATAGTTCTATTTGTAAGCATTATACCAAGGCAGTGTAAATATTTATGAAGAATCTCATATTGTTTCTATGTTATTTTTCTTCCAGATGTGCTTCTATGCAGCTCCACTGAAAACTGTCATTACAGTTTTAGATAATATTATCTAAAGTATTGTTTATAGATATTAAAAGTCAATTGACCTATGTCTATATGGTTAAATTGGAATCCTCAGCATAATTTCCATCTTTTAATCACTCAGTCTCCATAAACATTGGTGGTCCCTCATTCAATCTTTATGAGATTCTCAAGGAACAATTAAGAATAGTACATATTTTGTTAGACCATTAAAAGGATATTGGGATTTTTTTTACAGTTGAGAATTCCAACAGCAAACTGAAATATGCAAAAATTTGAAAGGTACATGCTAGCCCTGGGAAGATTCCTATTCATTCATATATTAAATTTACACAATAATTTAGGAGTAAAAATTAAAACAATATTCTTGTGTTTAAATCTCAATTAATTTTAAGAATTTCTCCTAACAGATTTTGCTCTTCAGCCTGCTCCTGCTGTAACATATAGAACAATTGGTGGAATTTTAGATTTCTATGTCTTCTTAGGAAATACTCCAGAACAAGTAGTACAAGAATATCTATTGGTATGTTTTTTTCTATCATGTTTTTACTTGGTGCTTATAGAGTAGAGCTCTATATGTTATTGTCTATACTGAAAGAGAAGATATGCTTTTCTTAAGAAGCTATTCTAGATTAGGAGCACTATAAGTGAAAATGCTATCTGTATAGTCCTTTCTGTTCTGTTTCTATCCAGTAGTAAGAGATGCAAAGAAAAACCTCAGAAGAAAAGTGAAATTGTCAGATCAGTTTATATTAAAGGATTTATAAAATATTTTGTCCACAGTCATAATGTACAGGTCACTTCAACTAAACCTAGAATCAAAGCTAGTAACAATACCATAGTTAGTTGCTAGGACTAGTATTACGGTAGATAATCTGACATAGATATAACCATAACCGCCTGGAATTTACTCATAAAAATCCAGCTAAGTTTAAAGAGCTTTGCAGAGCATGTTATGGTTACCCTTTATTGAACTAACAACAGAAAATATTGATAGACATTATTTTAGAAAAGACATATCAGATACACAAGAGAAATGACAAAAGACATCCCTGGTTGTCTCTGCCATATTAATATCTCTCTGAATTAGATCAAATCCTACATCTCATCTCAGCCAACCTCTCTTACTAGGATCAAAATCCTAACTAGTAGTTTTGGGGCATTATCTGGAGGAAGATTTCTGTTGCTATTGCTGCTGCTGTTCAATCTCATGCAACCCCAAAGTACTACCAAACATTTATACTGACTCCTGTATCACTCGGTTTAGACAATGGAAATACAGTAAAACAAGAATCTAAATTTCTTCTTCATTCTGGCAGCAGCTTAAAACTGCATTACCCTTTTCATACATAACTAAGTCAATATGAATATGTCTTGTCCAGTAGCATGATGGTACAGAGATTTCAGTAGTCTTCCTCTGTAATTACATTTCAAGAAAATATCCTTCTCTATAAACAATAGAATGCAAATGCAAAAGGATTTGCTAGCCTCTTAAATTTTGTTTTGTATTTTAATTCTAAAGTTGATAGGACTTCCACTGATGCCCTCCTATTGGAATCTCGGCTTCCATATCTGTCGATGGAATTACACAGATCTTAATGAAGTGAAAGCTGTAGTAGAAAGGAATCGAGCAGCTGGAATACCTTATGTAAGTAAAAATGTAAGAGTGGAGAAGGAGTGGAGTCACTGTGTGAGAATTGGGTGGCTACATACATCTGTTTAGTTAACAAATCAGTACATTATTGATTGGAGGGGAAAATCAGTTATTTTGAAGACTTTTTGATTCCATTTGCTGTACTATTGTGATAAGTAGAAAGATACAATTCTTGAAGGATTTGTAATGTTGAAGGTAGAATTTGATGTCTAGTTTCCCTTGAAGCAGAACCATGGGAAGCAAATCTATGCTCATTTAATAAATTCAATTTTGACCAAATTAAGGTCCCTTTCCATGTGTCTAGGACTTTTGCTATTTTTATTATGAGATCTCATATTCTTACGATATGCATAAACCATTGGTAATCTTTTTCTTTGCTACTATGATGGAAGAAGAAATTATGAATTATATGGGAATTGTTAATGTCATTGTTCCAATTTTAATTCAATGACAACATCATGCTTTGGGAAAACAGGATAGCAGGAAGAACAAGTAAGGAAGAAAGTTATAATCTAAGGATGGATAAATTTTGGATTAGAGGATACACTTTACATTTTTTTGGTAGAAAATAGGAGGTCACAAAGAGTAAGTTGATTTACAAAGTAGAGAGGGTTAGGATTTAATACTCTTTATTTCCTGATTTGGGGCAGCTGAATTTTTTTTAAAAAAAATTGTTTCCAACTAAAATGTAAACCTATTTTAGGACTTTTTAAAAGGATATTTTGTATTATATATATATAATACACACCTAGACCTACATACCTGTACCCATGAAAATCTACGAACACACACACACACACACACACACACACACACACACATATATATATATATATATATATAATGTTAAATGCAGGAAATCAGTAATCAGGCAGTTCATCTAGGGTTATTATATGCTAAAGCACTCTACAAGAATCTGGACTACTAACAGTCAAAGCAAGTGGTAGATAAGTGGTAGATAAGAGTCAGTGGAATTCAAGATGGGTATGAAAGGACTCAAGACTGATATGCATTTGATCCCTTGAGCTGGTTACCTTTTACATTTAGGATACTTTAGGATAGTACAATATTTATGTGCTTCCTACTTTAACACAGTGGGAAATGTTTCCATTGTCCTTTAAAATGGGCTTTGTTGTTTATTGGAAAAGATATTGGGGCAACATACAATTTTGGTAGTTGGTTGCCTATTCTTGATATAACTGGTAGAATTCACTCTGGCTAAGGAAATTATAGTGGGTTTTTTTTCTCACATCAGCTATTCTGAATCAAATCAATGGAAATGAAATATTTCTTCGAATATCACCTAGAATCCTGGTGTTTTAGTAAAGGATCACAGTTAGATAGGATTTCAATAAAATAGTCAATGTTTAGGTAATACAGAGAGGACAAAATCAAGAATGTCATTTTACAAAAATTTATACTTGCTAGGAATCTAGTTTAAAAAAAGTCTTTCCTGGAGGCTGAAGAATTAAAATGGGAACAGGTGCTGAATTTTGTCACACCTGTGAATATTTAATTTAGCTAATGCAAGGAACAGTTCCCTTAGCTAAAACATCAGCTTCATTAGATAACAACATATACATTTTCTTTCTATCAGTAAAATGATGTGTTTGGAGAAACCAATTTTCTAGGCAATATTAAAGGATAAATCAATGTATTTTCCTTTTTATATACATTACAGAAAAAAATTAGGGTGGCTACATAGCTAGTAATTATGGTAATGAAAATTGGGGATGGGGGCATTGGCTTTTATAATGAGCCAGAGGTGCAGTTTTCAGGGAAAATATAATTTTCTGAATATTACATTGATAACAGGATCCAAGAAACTAAATGAACCTTCATGCTCAGTCAGAATGAGCCATATTATAGGTAGAACAATAACCATATTTCATATACTCTGATGTCCAATGGAGACTTAGATATGAAATAGAATTAATGTATCCAATTATTTAATTTTTATTAAAAAGCTCATCAGCACCAATTTTCTTTCTTTTATGCTTTTCTTGGCATTCATCATATAGACTGTGATGATCTTGGTGTTGGTGATAAGGATGATTCCTCACAGTTCTGCCTGGGTTGTAACAGTGTAAAAATTCAACATTTCCAATGGCTGCAATTTTTTTTCCAGGATGTTCAATATACTGATATTGACTACATGGAAGATAAGAAAGATTTTACTTATGACAAGATAAACTTTGCAGGCCTCCCTGAATTTGTCCAAGACCTTCATGACCACGGGCAGAAATATGTCATCATACTGGTAATTCTGATTAATTTAAATAGTTCAAATGAACAAATGAAACAATTATTGAAACAATTTATCAGCAATTGTTTTCATATAGCAGTAGCACTTAGAGTTATATACCACTTCACAGTGCTTTACAGCCCTCTCTAAGTAGTTTACAGAGTCAGCATATTGTTACCAACAATCTTGGTCCTCATTTTACTGACCTCATAAGGATGGAAAGCCGAGTCAACCTTGAGCCAGTGAGGCTCCAACTCCTGGCATTGAGCTGAATTAGATTGTAATACTGAATTCTAACATGGCACACCAAGGTTCATATATTGTATGTTACAGCTCATATATATTAAGTTATAATGCCAAATAGCATGTCTACCCATTACAATTTCTGCTCCTTCCTGAAACATTAAAAGGTTTTTGCTATTTTTTTTACTTCTAACCCTATTTTTCTTCCTTATTTGTACTAAGATTTACCTCCATATCAACTGTTTCAGTAAAAGTAATGGGAACCTGATGAAACAGTATTATTCTATTCAGGAACAGTGGTGTCTAATAATTGTTTATCTGCAACCTCCTATAAATCTTCATTGACTTATTTATTTCTGTGGTTCAATGGATCATAAATCAATTTTAAAACAAAAAGTACAAGAAATGTATGATGGAAGTATTACAATATTTTTAAAAAGTTAAAAATGAACAAGCACGGACTCACCTGTTTTACATCTTCATCTTTAACGATGGTCCTTGACTTTCCCACACAATTAAATATACCAAAAGGTTGCCAACTCTCTCTGTATTCTAATCAATAGTCAATGGATATTGTAATTCCATTCCCAGAAGTTTTTTTTTTTAAAAAAAAACATCCAACAGATGGCAAAAAATAAACAGAATATTAATTGTGCCTTAGCAGCTGCTCTCCACTGGTACCTGGCAGTTTAGTGGCAGAAAGCAAGGCTGCAAGCAAGAAATAAGATGGCTTTTACAGGATCAGGGCATGTTCAATGATGTCACTTTACAAGTCTTGCCCTGCAATGTCATGATATGGGCATGTAAAGTTGGGGTGACATCACTGAGTAATAGAGTTTGTCAACTTTGTTCTGCTTTGTTGCATAGCAAAATACCCCTGCTATCCACTGCAGGGGGTACAATCGGTTACATAATTGTGCAAAGGTTTAACATTTGTAATTCTTTTTGTTAAAGGATCCAGCTATTTCTGTCAATAACCTCATGAACAATACACCTTATGAAGCATACCTACGTGGTGAACAGATGAAAGTTTGGATAAATGAGTCAAATGGAATAAGCCCTCTTATTGGGGAAGTAAGTTGCTATTTTCAGAAATAAATTTTGAACCACTTGAACATTACTATAGCAAATACATGTCTAAAATGGACAAAGAGAAAGGAGGGGAAAATTGTACTAATCCAGAATCATCTGTAAAACAGGGATCTCTTCTCCACTCCATTTATTTTATTATTTAGTACTCTGAAGAAACCCATTGTATTTTTTCTCCCTTAAAAAGAGAAAGGCATAACATTTTGATAAATGTTATCCATGTTGATTGCTCTGACCGTGTAGTGAACCTACTTTTCTTTATCTAGTTCTGGAATGTAAATATTGGCACAATCATCAAATTGAGAATAAATCACAATGTTGACAATGGTTATTTTGTCAGATATATTCTGAAAAATTAAATAACTTTTTTTAAACCTAAGAAAACGATAAGAGAACACCTGTCTGACTTTGATGAATATAAATCACAGGACCTGAAGAATTATATCCCAGAGTTCTGGAGGAGCTGATAGATGTTATCTCAGAACCATTGTACCAAATCTTTCAAAAAATTGTGAAGCACCAGGGAAGTATCAGAGGATTGTAAAAGAGCTGATGTGGTTCCCATCTTCAAACAAACAAACAGACAAAAACAACTATAACAAGAAGAATTCAGGAAACTACAGACAAATCAGCCCAACATTAATAATTTATTTATTTATTAGAATTTGTCAAAGAAAAATGCAAACAAGAATAAAACATAGTCACCAAACCAGTAGTAGCACCGGTTGAATCCCACCCCTGAGTAAGATCACACCTAGAATACCACATCCAGTTTGGGTCACTACATTACAAAAAAGATATTGAGAAGCACTAGAGGGCAAGACAGTAAATTATGGATGGAAACTAATCAAGGAGAGAAGCAACCTGGAATTAAGGAGAAATTTCCTAACAGCAACGACAATTAACCAGTGGAACAGCTTGCATTCATAAGTTGTTGGTGCTTCATCAACTAGAGGTTTTTAAGAAAAAACAGGACAGCCATCTATCTGAAATGATGTAGGGTCTCTTGCTTGAGCAGGGTGTTGGACTAGAAGATCTCCAAGGTCCCTTCCAGCTCTATTCTGATTCAATAGAGCTTACTAAGAATCTTCCTGGTCTGTTCAGCAACCTACAAGTTATTTTATTAGATTATTAGTAATTTCTTACATAATGTTTAGGTCTGTCACTATGAAGGTATAAACATTCCATTCATTCTGTATCATGCTCAATAAGTCATGACAAACAGCTCTGGGCAGAAGTATAATACTCATATAAAATATTTAAATTAGTATAGCAATTTTATCTTGCATTTGATGATAACAGATTCAAATTTCTTCTCTCCCTCAGTGCATTTATTTGTTTAAATTATAGAGAAAATATTTACTAGATGAGAAATTTGATGTTTTGAACATTGTCTACAATAATTTACTCATATTTACAAATTAATGCAAGCAGAATTTGCTACCTACCTACGTATCCATCCTGAAGCATGAAATTTTAAAAAAGTTGGTTTCTTTGTTGATAGCCATTTGCTAAGAATTACAACTGATTTACATTTCCTTACAGTCCACGATTTCTAGGTCTCTCTCACTTCCCCCCATCTCTATATACATACAAAAATATATGTGCACACACATAAAAATGTATGTATGTATATACATATATACATATACATATATATACACATATGCACACATATATGTATATCTATACTTATATGCATACAAAAATTATGTAAAAAAACAGATGTATATGCATGTGACAGATATATCCTATTATGGAGACTTATTTAGGTGTCAGTGTTTTGTGTGTATTTTCTTAAGAGAAAATAACTGGAGCAGAACTCAGCAGTATGTTATATATACTATATATAAAAACACAACAAAGCCAAGTGTCATTTATGATATCCACTTAGTTGTCTAGTTGACAGTTTCTTGAAGTGGTACTGTTGTTACATGAGAAAGAAACAATTTAATAAAAACAGAATTTCAGTATCTAACATACAATTGCATTTTTCTATTTTACTGTTTTCCCATGCACACATAACAAGTTTTGTTTTTAATACAGATTACTCAGATATTCCACTTGTTTCATTTTGCTTAGAATCTTGCAAAACTGTTTTAAGGAAATACTTATATATTTTGGTAGACCACTTTTATACTTTTCTTTAACCTACAGGTGTGGCCAGGAAAAACTGTCTTCCCTGATTTTTCTAGTCCTGAAGCTGTTCTGTGGTGGGCTTATGAGTGCAACAATTTTCACAAAATGATCCATTTTGATGGACTTTGGATTGTAAGTACTATTTAGCAGTGAAGAAACAAATATTTTCTAGCAAAAATACTTAGGTAAAGGTAAAGATTCCCCTCGCACATATCTGCTAGTCATATGCTGGCTGTAGGGGGTGGTGCACATCTCTAATAGAAAGCCAGCACTGTCATAAGATGTCCTGTGGTCATGACTAAAGGCCGAAGGTGCACAGAATGCTGTTACCTTCCCACAAAAGTCCCTAATTTTCTATTTGCATTTTTACATGCTTTCAAACTGCTAGGTTGGCAGAAGCTGGGACAAGTAACGAGAGCTCAGTCTATTACATGGTGCTAGGGATTTGAACTGCCAAACTGTAGACCTTTCTGATCAACAAGCTCAGAGTCTTATCCACTGAGCCACCATGTCCCTTTTTTAGCAAAAATCTTAGCAATAAACAAAAAATATCCATCTTTAAGTTTCTATTTTTTTTCATAGGCAACAATACATTCTTCCCAAGGAATATAAACTTTGTATAATGTTTTGATTTTTTTAAATACATGTAAAATATTGTTGGTATAGTCTAATTTCTAAATCTAGCTCAGCTCCAAGGGATTACATGAAAACATCCACTTTGTTTTTTTTTAGCAACAATATAGCAGAATAGCCTTGTTCTAGGATGCTATCTTATTTTTCTGGTGTAAGCCTGAAGGTTTAGAATTTTCTTGTGGTTTAACAACCCAAACACTAATAAAATTTGATTTTTGGTTACATATAAAATCAGCCAAAGTCTGCTGTTGTGATTTATTGTCCATAGCAACAGAAATTTCCCATTGAAAAAGGAAGGCTGTCTCTCTTTTTAAAGAGTTAGAGAGCTGAGACAGGCAACAACATTTGAAAAACTAGATGAATAACACCATTCAGTTCTGCTACTCACTTAAGAATTTGATAAACAGGCATTGGAATTTCTCTGTAACTGGCTTACAAAATTCAAAGGTAAACTTGAAAATTGTTGCCATGATGGGTTTTGTCAGTCCCAAAACACCCATTTACTAGAAAGTGGGTCATATTTTTAGAGGAAAATGTTTGTGGCTCAGGGTTGAAATGATAGGTCCTTAGTGCTCTCTGAGCTTGGTTGTTTTCTTGGAGACATTTCATCACCAAACTAGGTAACATCATCAGTTCACTGATAATAATTACCTAGTTTAGATAATGAAATGTCTGCAAAAAAAATCAAGTTCAGAGAGCACTAAGGACCCTTCAATCATATATCTTCTCTAGTAACCCATGGGTACCTCTGTGGCAGGCATTATTGTGGCAGTTAAATATGTTGCTAGGAGTGGTTGCTTTTTAATTTTTTTTTAAAGTTGAATAGGACAGGGGTCCTGATGAGTTATGTCTGAAGACCACAACTACAAATCCATGAATTTCTATGAATCTTTTCTCATAGGACATGAATGAGGTATCCAATTTTGTCAAAGGATCAAAAACTGGTTGTGCAGCAAACAATTTAAACTACCCACCTTTTACTCCAAGTACGTTCTCAACTGAAATCAAAATTATTTAATTTCCATGCTAGATTTTTTCCTATATCTGTGTATGTAAGATCCTTAGATAGAACCTTAGACATTTTCACAATCAGATTCATTTACCAATTGTTAAATAATTCCTATCTGCTACAACATAGTGATTCTTCTGGAAGATCAGAAAAAACTAATTGCTAAATTATCAGATGACTGTACAACTTGTCACGCTATCTCTAACTAAAAGAATTTTAATTGGTGGATTTTTAAATCCAAACAAATAACTTCAGTGCAGCAAGGTTAAAAAAAAAGTGCTACTATAATTTATATATATTTGTTTTCTTAAGTTTTCGCAGGTACTTACATGTATGGCATTCAGCTTTGTTCGGGTATTTTCCCACG